TTGCACTTTAGTGCTTTTCATACTAGCAATGATTTATGATATGGACTCATCTCTCACCGCTTTTCTTTTTAAAGTCAGATCGGTGCATGCTACGCCATCACGCTGTGTTCAAGGTCAGCCGCCACTACAATTCAAGATCTACTATACTTTAGTATCTTATGCACACAGAGTTAGAAGCGAGTTCCCAGCACGTCTTCACATTGTCTGACAAACTAGGAGCTCAGGCTTAGAGTAGGATACAATACTCCAACACAGAGCTGTGGCAGTCCCACAGACAACACGATGAGGCATGGCCAGGATATGTACAAATGGACCAATCACACTGCCAGCCCAGTAGGCTAAAGGATCAAGGTAAGTGTCTCATAACTCAGAGCTCTCCAACCTGTGGAAGAGACGTGATATACAGTACAGCAGTATCGTACGGATAGCAGAATGTTGTGTTTTATTCATACTCCAATCTGAATCAGCATCCACTTCTGCGTCTAGTAGCAGCGTACGCAGTGTGATAGATGTAGCAAGGAAGCACAACAGGTCAACTACACAGAAAACGGCGGTCCATGGTGATTGAACCTCACGGCCGCTGCAGGTAGTCTAGGCGAAACCGACTTCTATACCACTGCGTTAACCCGCGATGGGCAACTACAGCTGTTGGGGTTCCAAGTCTCCAGTAATACACGCAGACAAAGGCAAGCTACAAACCACTGTGCGACTGGCACTGTATAGGGCCTCTCGCTGCAGATTAGGTAGGTGCAGACGGCAGGTAATGTAAACAACCTGAGACTATCCAACTCAAACTAGATATACGCATGTCAACAATGCAGGTGAAAGCACATGAAGCCAGTCAGCAGTGCATTTTTCCGACGTACTGACGTATGACTCCCGCGGATGACTTATGACTGCTACACTTCGCTCATCTAAAAATGTAATTCTAGTTACTGTGGATGATGATGCATTGGCTAGGTGTAGTGTTTCTCACATTAATGGTTTTGTGAAGCCCTTTAAAAGCCCAGCCCCGCCATCTTTTCTCATTCTTGCGTTCTCTTCTGCCTGCGTTGTGCACGCAGTGTCTAGTTCTCTCGCTGTAGTCGAGCTCTAAAGCAATCTCTCATTGTGGAGATATTCGTCATGACCATGTTTCGGTGCTATAGTCCAAAACAGGCAGTATACACTACTCCACCAATGAATGAGATTCCAACTAATGCGCAGTAGACACGGCGTGCAGCAGATAATACCACGCGATATTATATAACATGTTTCTGAACATTATCGTGTAAGCCTCCAAATGTGACTGCTATGTAAGTCTGGCTGTGCAAGTGTCTCGCTAGTAGTTTCATTAGATGTCCTCTGCTATCACGCACGCCACCAGCTACAACTTTATCTCAAGTGGCACAGGACCACTCGAAAGCCGTGACTGATTAGTCAGTATGCCGCCGCGAACGTCTTAAAATCCATTGCGTGAGCATTCGGCTGCATCAGGCCACCATTCTACTAGGGACTCTCCTAGTGCATTACTTATTGTTATTTTGTTTTTTTGGGAGTGGAAGTACTTTCTCGAGGCTGCTGGAGTCAAAATGGTATAAACCACCTCCACAAAATACTTCTAGTATAATTATTATGGGAAGTTTTGTAGTGACAAAATTAACTGGGGGAAGCTGTGTTCTCTTGTTAGCAAGAGCAGGAGTGTGTGTCCCCACAATTGGACCTTTCATGTACCAGGGAGATGTTGGCCCATCTAAAAAGGGTCTGAAAAAGCAATCAGTAGCTATTGGGCTACATCTATTGTGACCATATTATGCCGACCTTGTCTATTTGTACTACGGCCAATTAATCTAGACAGAGATGTCCTTATAGCACTATCCACTCTAGAACTAACACCAACACAATGAAAAGCACTAAGTGCAACCTCTCGGCGAACTGGCGCATAGTGCGGTACCCTAAATTGATGGGCTGGGCTGTATGCGTTTACTCGTGGTCTCCCGTGAGTAGCTCGCAGAGAGTCTGACACGGGCTATCTACAGTAGTAGATAGCACGCGAGAGTGGATACACGCCATTCGTTGTGACTTCTTGTGCCTTCAAGATGACAGAAGCAAGCAGACTCGGTAGAGGTAACCTGTGTAAAATAGCGCATGCGCATATCCGCCAGCGATAAAATGGCGACTACCGGCATTAGCCATACATGCTGGAAGCACTCTAGCTTTGCAACGGAGCATTTTCAGAGAAACCCCCACAAATTTTCTGACCTTCATCGCCCGTTGGGTAGATGGTATCCTTTGTGAGACGAAAGAACACTCGAGAAGTGAGATGAAGAGTAACAGACACACAGACAGACAGACCCAACTACTATAACCCTCGCTGCGCATGCGCGCAGAGGGTTAATAACTCTCCTTATCGGTTAATCTAGTTAGAAAATGGCATGTTAAGAATGCTTTGATGTTGAATGTGTAATCATGTTTCTTATCCACTAAGACGCCCCATTTTAGTATATAGTCCACTCCACTAACACACCTGCTACTAAGACACCCTGTGGTCACGCTATGCGCCAAGTATGCCAATTAGTCTAAGTAGTCCCATGCACAGTTGCCACCGAGATAGGCAGACAGATGTTTTACAATGCTATATATACAACCAGGTGAAGCTGCAACTGCTGAACACCGAAATCCTCCCCGGTCATCGGAGGATGCGGAAATGGTGATCATTAGCCGTGTAGCTACCTAAAAAAACTCGTGCAAATATGTCTTGGTCGACCGGGAGGGCCAAAACGGCTCGATGACTGCTACAGTGACGGCTTGGAGTCAGCAGTTCCCGCTTTATACTGTTGCAACGCTTGTATACAGCAGTAGCTCGTCGACTTGGCTTTCCAGATCAGGATCAGCTCTTCCCATCCAAGCCTAAACCATGCCTAAACTCACTCCCGCTCGTCATTATCTAAACTAATGGAAATGTTGAACATTGTTGGTGAGCGGGAGCGATCCAACTTGGGATTTGCCCGCGATGTTCGGGCTGCATAATGTGCCGTCAGCGGCACAGCTTTCTTTTCGTGAAGCAAGACAGATCTAGCAACCTGTCACCGTTACATGCGTATTGCACATTGGCAGAACGGTGAGCATGTGAGCAGAACGGTACTTACCTTATCTTTCAGCTCGCCAGTAATGGTCCACCAGGCAGCTGGCATGCAGCAGTATCTGCATGAGCAATCCTAGCTTATTAGCAAGTTGCACTTTCGAACCATGAAGATTGGGGAGAGGTATATACAGCCTCGGTCAATTATTGTGATACCCTAGGAATGGAAAAGGTTCTAAAAAGAAACCACATGCTTAAATAGAGACTATACATGGGCTCTCTGAGCATGTTGGGGAAGGAGAGGGTCGGTCCCTGCGATTTACTTGAGGTTGCTTCCCAGTTTGGTGTTATAACAACTGTAGAAAGTGTAAGCATCCCTAGGAGAGGGTGGGTTCCTGTAATGTATTAGAGGTGGCTTCCCCATTCAATGCTTTGCTAAATCTCAGACTTCATGGAGCTCAAAGTGTAGGGAAATGCAGTCTTTACTTAGCCACAAGGTGTTAGGGGGCTGCAACTGCATAACAAACTTGATGAGGTGAATGTCTGTGTTCTCTGTTACACTGACAGTTGTGTTGCAGTAGTGAGTGGTAGACTGGCAGTTAGCTCAGACACTATTGTGATCTTCCACCCTTGAGGAGTGCACTCTGCAGTCAGTAGCTACTGCAGCTGGATACTACGGATTTGAAGCTACACAATCCTCACCTAAACATCAGTGCACCTAAAATTTGGCTGCAGTATATCAGCACCCTTCCTACATGCACCTTCACATAGTACTCTGAACAAGGCGGTTACTATTAGGCCACTCCAAGTTGCATTCTGCATGGTCAGAGTCTTTTCAAGTCGAGATGCGTGCGGGTGGGTTTACTCATTATGTCATTAGTACACTTAGTTGGCGAGCGGGAGCGAGCTAACGTAGTGGTATGAACGGCGCAGATTTTCCATACATATATTTATTTATCTACGACCGTACGTCGTCCACACGCTTCTTTTTCAAATTTTTACACCGTATATTTCTCGTGTATTGGAAGCCAACCACACTTTCTGCGATGGATCGGTCTAGAGAAGATGCCCTTCGTCGTCGACGAGAAAGGGAAAGAGAACGCCGTGCCAGTGAGACTTCTGAGCAAAGAGAGGCTCGTCTTTCTCGACGGCGACTGCGTGATAGGGAACGGGCAAGGCAACGCCTGGCCACGGAAACAGCGGAAGAAAGAGGAAGAGGCACGACTAGCGAGAAGTCGTGTACGAGCAAGTATGCCCCCAAATTTTTACACCGTATATTTCTCGTGTATTGGAAGCCAACCACACTTTCTGCGATGGATCGGTCTAGAGAAGATGCCCTTCGTCGTCGACGAGAAAGGGAAAGAGAACGCCGTGCCAGTGAGACTTCTGAGCAAAGAGAGGCTCGTCTTTCTCGACGGCGACTGCGTGATAGGGAACGGGCAAGGCAACGCCTGGCCACGGAAACAGCGGAAGAAAAAGGAAGAGGCACGACTAGCGAGAAGTCGTGTACGAGCAAGAGCTACACGTGCTGCGGAATCAGAGGAAACGCAACAGGCCAGGCTCCAACAGATCCGAAGCTATAAGACAAGGCGAATTGCCGTCAAGACAGTCATTCATTGTGTGCTCGCTCCCGCTCGCCAAAAATGCCATGCATTCGCCTACTAGTAATATGACCACAAAAAGTCATAGTGGGAAGACAGTCAAAACTGGACAAGTGCAAAGCCATTAGTATGCACAAGCACAGCATGCGTAGTGAATAATGACCAAAATTGTGTTCTCTTGAAATGGGGTGCGGGCAGCAGACCAGAAACCGGTATACAACTTGGAGTGGCCTTATATAGGCTCCTCTTTTCTTACAACTCCATAATATTATTATCGGGTTTTCCCCTGGGAAGCTCTCTACCTCTGCAGGTCTTTAAAGGGTGTCATCTTCTGTCTAAGGGGCATAGCCAGGAATATTGACCTGTTAGAAGAAGGAGATCACTGTACTCAGCTTATCAGGGGCCTTAGCAGGTGGGGCTCTGAAGTGTTTTTCCCAGCCCTTATAACTTTACACATCCTGTGCTCTTATCACCACTGCTAACATATATAGCTATTGTAAAACCTACTCTATACTATAATTTGGGTTGGTCTTTTATTGGTGCATACAATCTCTATGTTCTGCACTTGTCAGACCTGGACCCTACAAGCTTCTACTACACAGGTAGCCGATACCCCGTGACGTTGCAATTTTGACGCACTTTTGCGCACGCCTCTCGCGCGTGGCAGGCGCATGCGCAAGTGAGACGTATAAGTCCAACATCAAAAGGATATAATTATATTGAATGCGATTTGTTGTGCAGGAGAGTTCACTCTTTTGGAGAAGTCTACCCAGCTGAAGTCAAAGGTGGAGGCCAAAGAGCGTAGTGGGTGTGTAGTAGAAGCTTGGCTACTTCTAAAGGGTGCTGGTGTCTCCAACTGTAGCCAGCAATCTGGGAGATGGTGAGCTGTTCCTGGGAGGATACCCCGCTGTCCCTAAGCACCTGGCAGGTGGGGCTCTGAAGTGTTTCCCTAGCCCTTATCACTCATGCATCTGCACAATTATCACCATTGCTGACAGCATTTGTAAGGCTATTGTAAGGCTATATTGTAAGCTTACTCCTGCCCTGTCTACTCCTCTGTACCATAATTTGCTTCCCATTCTTCAGTCTGAATCTTGCTTACTTTCTTTTATGTTCAAGGTGCTGGACTACAACTGCACTTGTCAAGACCTGGACCCTACAATCTTCTTCTATATACCCACAATTTTACTGTTGTAGCCTCCACCTTCAGCCGGATAGATCTCTTCAAAAGAGTGAACTCTCCTGCACAACGAATGACATGCATTGCATATATCCTTTGGGGCCAATTGCTGTAGGATGATTTTAGACTACTTGCGCATGCACCCACTATGCGTGAGAGGCGGCGCACCAGGCAAGAGCGTGGGGATCGCAAATTAAGTCACTACGCTTTTATGCGTTGAAGCAGCCTCTTCCCCAATCTCTTTGCAGCACGAAAAGGGTGGGACTGAGCATGTGCTAAAAAGTAAGTGGAAAAATCATTTCTTCAAAATGAAGGGGTATGTAGGGATGGCGTAAATTACGAAAAAGGATACGAACGAGAAGATGCTTCAGCCGAAAACAAAAATCTTACATCCATCCCTACATCTTTATTTACTCATACAACCTCTATATATTTTACTCTGTTTTGTAGAATACGGATAATCTCATATCCCGTCCATTACCATAGAAAAATAGAGCAATTTTGGTTTTTGCAAGCCTATTGCGATTTTGCCCATCTGTAATTATGCATTCCATATACAACCTTGGACTGGAGTTTTGTAACTCTTCATTCTCCACCTGGCGCTTGTAAACAGCTAGGCTAGCCTACCTTGATTAGCTTAGCTAAACAAACTGCATTGTTAACTATCTGGGTCACACTATACATTAGTATACACAGTATACACACCTACATCCCACATATTATTTGGATGAACCTAGGGTGTGATATTAACTGGGACCCACTGTACCTTGGAATCACCCAAACACAAGTACAAAGCACAACTGTATTGTTATGCTGTGCCTCACATTAATGGAACTTTGTTCAATTTGCTTATATATAGCTACACATGGCTACAGGAAGAATTTGTGAGCTTGCAGTGAGTAAAGTAAGTTCATCCACAGATCATGACCCAGGCAATGTGCGACGTAGCTAGCTGACCAGGTTTCAAAGTGTGCTTTGTTCTAGAGGCGAAATTCAGAAGTTTTGTATGAGTTAAAGTACACGAAAGACAGACTCATATATAGTGCACGCATAAACAAAACAGATATGACGTGGCAACCGTTAGCAAGTTGCAATAGTATGATCATGTGGTTGATCACACCTAGATGAAGTGAACACACTATATAGATCTTTTTTATTGGATATATACATACCTTTCTTGCAAATCCTTCAGCAATCCTCATAGCTGTTAATATTCTAGTAGGATAGAGAATTTTGGTGCATGATGCAAAAAAACAGCTAACTATAACGCTTTAGAGCTGATGAGGCATAGCTATATATTCCTGGCAAGATTGCAACCCCGCCCTGACGCGACTCCGTGGCGCGTGTATTTCGAACTAGCTAGCTATGTGGACAACTTTCTCCGCTACACTTACCCCAAGACGTTGCCTACGATAGAGGCTGGTTGCTATATCTGCGGTACTTTGGGTAACTAGCTACTTCTGATAGCTAACGATTTAATTTCCAACACGCGCAGCTATAGTTTTCTTTCTCTTATCCCTCACTTTATTCTGCACTGTTTACAAAAACAAAGTACTCTGCTCTCTCTCTTTCTCTTCTGTTGACAAGGATGTACTTTCCAGTCTCGAGACTACGTACTTTCTTGTGTGGTCATCGACAGCAATTATAGCCACCGCGACGCGCTTCAACGCTCTTATAATGCCGGAAACTAGGCTAAAAATCCCGGATGTGAGCTGTAAGAATTTTGTGAATAATCTGTATGATCTCAGTTTGTCAAGACTCCAACTCATTCTAAGTAGAAAGCAGAGCTACAAAGTGTTAGCTACATAGCTAGTCCAAAGTACATCAGAAATTGGAGAAGTCTCTAGTGGTCCTTCCATCGTCTCCATCTTTCTTGAACCATGGCCAAAAGGCAAGGTGCATAGCCTAATGATGAAAAGAAAATTGCATAATTAACCCTCGGCGCGCATGCGCAGCGAGGGTACTGTAGTTGGGTTTGTCTGTGTGTTACTCTCAATCTCACTTCTCGAATGTCTGTTCGTCTCACAAACGGTACGACCTACTTAACGGGCGGTTTTCACTGAAAATGCTTCGTTGCTAAGCTAGAGCGCTTCCGCCATTTGTACGGCTAATGCTAGTCGGCCATTTTTATCGCTGCGGAAAATGCGCATGCGCTTATATTTGGGTCCGTCTGTCTGTCTGTGTGTCTGTTTGTCTGTTACTCTATATCTCACTCCTCGAACGTCTGTTCGTCCCAGAAACGATACCATCTACCCAACGGGCGACGAAGGTCAGAAAACAAAGGCGGTTTTCTCTGAAAATGCTCCGTTGCAAAGCTAGAGCGCTTCAGGCATTCTGCGGCTAATGCGTAGTCGGCCATTTTTATCGCTGCGGAAAACGCGTATGCGATTATACTTTCAACATAACCTCGACCGGGTCCGCTTGCTCTGTGTATCTTTTAAGGCACAAGAAGTCACAACGAAGGGCGTGTATCTACTACTGTAGCTAGCTAGCCCGTGTCAGACTCTCTGCGAGCTACTAGCGGGAGACCACGAGTAAACGCATACTAATAGCAGCCCAGCCCATCAATTAGCGGTACCGCGCATTCCCAGTTCGCCGAAGGTTTGCACTTTAGTGCTTTTCATTGGGTTTGTCTGTTTGTCTGTCTGTCTGTTAGTCTATATCTCACTCCTCGAACGTCTGTTCGTCTCAGAAACGATACCATCTACCCAACGGGCGACGAAGGTCAGAAAATAAAGACGGTTTTCTCTGAAAATGCTCCGTTGCAAAGCTAGAGCGCGAAAAAGCCAATATGAAAATACACAACGGACGGGATGGCTTACCACAGTCGGATCGATCCGCGTGCTCTGCGTACTTCGGAGGCACCAGAAGATGCAACGCAGGGCGTGTATCGCCTTTCGCATGCTATATAGCAGTGTAGTTAGCCCGCGTCAGACTCTGCGCGAGCTGGCAAGAGACCACGAGTAACAGTTAAAACTAAACCGAGCCTATCAATTAGTGGTATATACGGCGCATGCGTTTACTTACGCGTGCGCGTCACAGTGCGCCGGGGGTTTGCACTTCAGTGCTTTTCATTTAGTTTCTGAACTCATAATAAACATTTTGCTGTTTCCCGGCTCATTTATACATGGAGTGTATGTTATAATCAAAAAGACATCCAGGACCATCTTGTGTGCTGATGTCCATGCCATTTTTACTGGGTCTAGTCTATAAGTCATTTCTCAGAAACTGTTCTAACTAATGATACCTGTAAAATAAACACTAATGCACAACATACCAAGAATAAAGTAGTAATAAACCCTCCAGCAAACATGAGCTTCAAACCTTTATCATAATCTTTGAATTGATCAGTAACATCGACATCAGATGTGCTATTGATGTATATTCCACCAAACACCATGACATAACCCAGAGCTGACAGGTACATGATAGAGAGCACGGCTGTCTGCAAGATTTCCATGTATTTTGCTTGCAAGCAGCAAGGAGGTCACAAGGCAAAGCAAACACACAACACATCCAGAAAAACTCCCTTTCCTTTATAGGTACAAGAGTTGCCTGGGTCATATTAACAGGCAATATTACATAGATAAAACTGGTCCAATTGTTTGATTTTCAAAGTGTGACCCAAGTTTTTACCTTTTCTGGGGGGCAAGATGTGTATATAATTTACTGGTGGCTTGCAATATACATGAGACGTGTTAGTTCTCACGGTAGGGCATGAAGGAGAGAGCTTGATTTGCAATGCTTTATGTTGTGTGACATCACGCAGCGTTGCCAACACAACTTTAGAAATTTTGTTGCTGGAGCATTTTGAAGTTGTATGAGACTCTAAAAAATTGCATTGGGTATCAGGTCCTTAATAGCCTAATCACTAACTGAAAGCGTTATCCGTATTGTGGTAAATGGGCTGTAAAAGAGTATGCTGGTAGTCTGGACCCTCCCACTCAGTATCTCCTCCAAACCCTGAACGCTGGAATTATCTTTGTTCACACTATACGCTCCCGCCCGAACGGCACGCCTACCCCGGCCACTGCCTAGTGCCTGCCAGCATAATTGTCCCCAAAATAGAACTCTATCTTTGGGAGGTAATGCGACAGTTTTAATGATATTCTTATGCATCCGCTATTAATTAATAGCTTCCTTGTGTAGGCAGCACAACCACTAAAGGCCTGTGGCGGCAGTAAGTCTAAGGGCCCTGATCCGGAAATTCCCAAAATGGCCATTATAGGTAGCCTCGAAGATCCCTTAGTAACATTCTTCCCACCATACGAGGGGCTCTCCTAGTGCGTTATGTGTCTTTTATTTGAGAGTTAGGGTAAGTTTACTTGTCAGGTTTGGCGAACATAAACTGGAAAGGCTGTCTCTTAGGCAATAGACCAGATGCGTGCTCAAAACAATCAATGCAATACAGTGACCCCCACTATAGGATTGCAGTGCCCATGTTAAGACAGTAGCATTGCTATATAAGCTGCTGGGCCCGGGGGTCACAATGGTATAACAGAATACATTCTAGTACACAATATTAAAGACAACTTTCATCTGTGTTGTGACAAGAGCAAGCATTTTAGCTACTACCAACCATTTATGATGCGTGGCTGAGCAACTAGCTAAGTTATATATGACTTTTGAAAATCCTTTGTAGTATTGCAGTTGCAGTGAGGATAGTAGGGACAGGGTATCCAGTACCAATAGGCGAATATCTCAGATATATGGGTATCATAACATTGGTTGCTTGTCACATGTGGTATATACATAGTGTCTATGCCTGCTAGTGGCCAGAAGGAGATTTAAATAATACTACCTTGGGTGGTGTTGCTTACTTTCTCCTAAAAAAGTGTAAAGTGGTCTTCACCCATGGGCGTTTAGTAGCACATTATAAGTATTAAGTGAAGGAAGGGACAGAGTATGGGCAGAGAAGAGGAGTAAATACATTACATCACAACTTTTCTCTCTTGCGAACTAATACTTACGTATTTCTGTAAAGCTGAAGTGCAGCGCATAGCTACATAGGACAGAACAAATAATCATTCCCCAATTAAATTTAATTGTGACATAGCTTGCTTCTTTCCGCCCACCTTTAGTGAGTGATTGTGTAAACATTGCTGTGCATGAGTAAGTGTTCTGTACCGTGATTTACTCGAGCAACTCCCCATTCTGTAGGACAGTGCTTTAAATCTACAATGGCAGTGGTACAGTGGGCTCATAATGTGCTACTAAACGCCAATGGGTGCAGATCACTTTACACTTTTTTAGGAGAAAGTAAGCAACACCACCCAAGGTAGTATATTAAACTAGGAAAGCGCGCGCTCTACTGACGAAGCCAGACTTCCTACGAATCTGCACGCACGGCGGAAGCTAGACTTCCTACGAATGACGGAAGTTACACTTCCTTTTGTGACTAATTGACATTCCCTAAGCGTGACTAATTTACATTCTTAAGCGTGACCGACACGTATATACGTACGTAAGCATATCGCGAGAATACAACCCGGAGTAGTTGCCTCCTCACGCTAATGCGCTCGGCAATCATGTCTGTGAGTGGAATGCTGGACTGCAAAACTGTCAATGGTGAAACTTCCCCCACTTAATGACTTTCAATGGTGTAAATCCACATAGCGTTCTTGTTATGGACAACTGTTCGATCCATCATGCCAATTCTGTCGTACAAATGGTCTATGAAGTTGGTGCTCTTGTTCACTTTCTGCCCCCTTACTCACCAGACTATAACCCCATCGAGGAAGCGTTTTCAAAGGTGAAAGGACAATTGACATTGATTACCCATAAGATTTTGTGATGGCAGCATTTGTGACAATAGCAGCAGAAAATTGTCAGCAGTGGATTAGGAATGCAGGGATTTCTAATTACATGTAACTTTTATCGTTGTATATACATGCTAAGTGAAAATTGTCTACAGAGTTTACATTATATCAAACCAGCCTCTTCAGTACAATAATACTGCTGGAGGAGAAACTGTTCTTCTGTCAGTATGCCATCCTCTCGAAGCTGCTGGAGGCGACGGAGCTGTTCCTCATTCGAATGCCAACAACTTTACTTGGTGAGCAGGTTGATGATGGACCAGCTGGCTGTGGAGAAAAGGCTTTCGCAATGGTATATAGAGGACTGAGAGGACTTCTAAAAGAAAGAGACTCCTTATGTGGTTGTTGGACAGAGCCTGTTATAAGGGGGACATTTGGAGGATGGTCCAGGTCCTCATGCGTGTTTGCAACGAACCTGCTAGCCCAAAGTTGGGCGAGAGTACTCATTTCCATGCCTCTTTTTCAGTTGCTGGAAAACATCCTCCCAGTTCTTCCTCTCGTTCATTTCTCTTACTCTCTTTCTTAGGCTTTTTTTTCGAGGGACTGCCTCCTCATCTGTCTTCTTCCTGATCTCCCACCACAGATATAGGCATGGCTTTCCTCAAAGTATATAGGAGTATGGGGCCTCTAACTCCTGCACAGTGACAAGCCACTTTTTAGTGTATTGCTTTCCATCGAAGTAGCCAACGTTGAATTCTCCTTCGTCAGGCACAGCATCCCCAAATTCATGCCACAAAACTGACCTTAGGGCAGCAACAGACCAGAGCCTTTTAGACACGTTATGCTGAACTGAAGTCTGGCACAAGGCGGGGAACCCCCAGAGACCTTCATTGGCTTCCCTTCCCACTCTACTCTCAGCCATGCATCCATCTGCGCTACTTTTGCGCATGCACGCATTACCTTGCGCAGAAAACACCTATATAATTATTTTATTGTATTTTGCGTTGGCGAATCAAAGGCGCCGCCAGTACTATATTCATCGTACAGAACGGATATCGCGCGGAACTGTACTATATCACACGAACTGTACTATATCCGCGGACTAGCTTTTTAGTGTATTGCTTTCCATTTTATATTGTAGTTTAGCTACATGTATATACGTTGTTTTTTTTTTGTTTTTTTTTTTTGACTAGCGTACGCTTTGCGGGAATGACGCCTCGGCGGCCTTTCGTAGACGGAGGTCGACTCAGACGGTGACACAAACAGCTGCTGGAAGGGCGCTCCGCGAGCTTCTCGTCCTCTCTTCCGTTCTGAACGCCGGTTTTCCTGGTCGCCGCCTTTTGAATCGCCCACGCATACAATAAATTATTTAATGTACGGAAGCACGTGCTGTGCGCGTGATAATGGTACTCGGAACGTGGTCTCGATATCATACAGCAACTCGGCTGCGCCCCTCGTACCATTATTACGCGCACAGCACTGACTTCCGTACATTAACTATTACATATAGGATGATGGTAGCTCTATAGCTCGGTTATTTCCCGGTTGTTCTTAGGAAGGACTGCATCTTAAGATCCAAAGAACTCTGTCGGACGATGGTGGATGTCTCTCTCTCTCTTTACAAAGGCTGTGAATGACGAGACACAGTTGCCAATGAAGTAGTCTGCTCTGCCCATAACTGCTCTGCCCATAACTGCTAGGTCGAGGGGTGCATCTGATGGGTTCAGATAGTGCACATTCATCTGTATGTGGAGTGGAGGAGTACACAGTTAGACAAACATACATGATACACGCTATATAGAAGGTTTCAAATTTAGGTACACACAACTAACACAGATTGGCTGGCAAGTGGCAAACCATCATGAATCACACTCAGTGGCATAGACAATTGCATAATGATTATGTATGTGCGACAGTGGCAGCGCGCCTTCAGAGATAAGTCTTGTATTCAGACGAATAAGTAGGCCTGCTTCGCTTGCAAGTCTCAGTATACAATATTAAACTCAAAATGGTCCCTGTGAGGTTTACATCACACACTTTTCTGGCAATCTGTTGCAGATTCTTCCTTTTACGTTTTAATAAACATTAATAAATATCTCTTACACTAGGTCCCAGCAGTTTCTTCTTGATGTAGGAGAGTCTGGGGTCCACTGTCCACATCACTGGCAATAAACACGTGGTGGATGTCAGTACTGTCGGCCAGGGACTTGATACGTCGGGCTATATGCTCGTGCGTCTGGAGGCACATCTCCTGGGTGATGGTGGCTCCTGGGATATCCTCCAGACACTGGTCTGACTCCATGAATGACTGCATGCCTACAGCACGCTCACATGCCTTCTCCTGCAGGTACATACATCATACTTGTACTTACAAGTAATGAACAGCTTTTACTGTTATCGAACCAACTATATAGCATAGTTACTTATGGAATAAAAATAACTGAAGTGCAAACCCTCGGCGCATTGTGACGCGCACGCGTAAGTAAACGCATGCGCCGTACCACTAATTGATGGGCTGGGTTTAGTTTTAGCTGTTACTCGTGGTCTCTTGCCAGCTCGCGCAGAGTCTGACGCGGGCTAACTACACTACGCGAGAGGCGATACACGCCCTGCGTTGCATCTTCTGGTGGTGCTGAGGTACGTAGAGCACTCGGATCGATCAGACCGTGGTAAGCCGTCCCGTCCGTTGTGTATTTGCATATTGGCTTCTTCGCGCTCTAGCTTTGGAACGGAGCAGTTTCAGAGAAAACCGCACATATTTTCTGACCTTCATTTCCCGTTCAGTAGGTGGTATCCTTTGTGAGACGAACGAACACTCGAGTGAGTGAGATGAAGAGTAACAGACAGACACACAGACAGACAGACAGACCAACCCAACTACTGTAACCCTCGCTGCGCATGCGAGCCGAGGGTTAAAGAAAAGCAAAACCCTCGGCGAACTGCGCATGCGCGGTACCACTAATTGATGGGCTGGGCTTTTCTTTTCTTTACTCGTTGTATCGCGCTAGTAGCTCGCGGAGAGTCTGGCACGGGCTAGCTACAGTAGTAGATTGCATGCGGGAGTCGATACATGCCCTTCGTTGTGACTTCTTGTGCCTTCAAGATACACAGAGCGCGCGGACGCAGTCGAGGTAAGCCTGTGCTAATTACCAATTGGCTTGTTCACTTGGTTTCACGCCACAACTTTAGAACGCTGTAGTTTTACGAAAATCGCCTTTTTAAAAATCAACCCAGTGTAGCACTGAACCCGATCATATCGCTATTTACCTGATTTCGTGCGCGCGGTGACAGAAAACGTGGTAACAGACAGACTGACAGACTGACAGACACACTTACGAAACAACTACCGTAACCCTCGCTGCGCATGCGCGCCGAGGGTTAATAACCAACAGCATAATTATTAAGGTCAAAAACTGGCACTTGTGTATGGAGAACTAATATTGATTTTGAAATTTGCCTAATAGAGAGACAAAACTCTACAGAAAAATCAAGGACTGCTTGTCCACTTGTTCAAGATTCAAGAACATCAAGGCTTGTCTGATTAAAGGAGAGGGCTATCCAGTGGTAGAAGAGTGCTTTTGGCCACATCTTGCAATAGCTGAGTGCCAGCTCGTGGGCTTCTGGAGTTAGTGTAAGAGCCAGTGAGGCTATTCTTCTGTAAGTATACCCACACAGGCCCTCCTAGCAACACGCCAGCTATACTGCCAGCTTCATTGAACCACACCTTCTCTCAGGCTATAAATTAAGCGTATGAACCTGCAAATCCTGTGCTCTCTGATAGACCTGTGAGCAGCTCCACTACCTGACAGTTTCCGCTTACCCACCGTACAGATACCAGCCCTTCTTACCCCCAAATACATTAACCCTTGAAACACTATATCACAGCAATGTACCATAACCTTATGCCACTGTTAGTCTCACCCAGTCACATCTAAATCTGAGATGGACCGCTAACACTTTGGCCTCAATAACAATGTATGCTACACTATAGCCACTTGCCAGTCTCCCCCAGTCAGATCCGATCCGGAGGTGGACTGCAATGTAGGGCTCCCCGGAGATCTCTCTCTGGACGTAGTCCTCCGTCCACTCCCTGATGTGACTGTTCCACACCACATACCTCTGGAGGTCTCTGTTGAACGTCTGAACTGGGAAAGATGCCGGGGCTCCTTTGAAGGTGAGGACTGGGTGCTGGGCTGGGGGGAAACCTGCACCCGCACACCGAGTTCCAGATTTACATGTAGACATGTTCAAGAAAAGACGAAGAACAGCAGGTTATGAACATAATTAAGGGCTACCAGTGAATAAACAAACCAGTCAGGCATTCCCTTGACCTTTTCTTTCTTCTCCACCACTTCTTAAGGTAAACCGATCTGACTTATTTAGGTATAATTATACTTACTTTTTATTCCACAGATCTCGAGTCCGTTCATTGTAGACATCGTGACCAAGACCGGTGAACTCTGACCTGTCAAAGCCCACCCCAAGTTCGTCCCAGAACGGACCAAACGGGTTTCCCTCCTTCATTAGACAGTCATTAACACCTCGGTCACGAGCCCTAGAGAAACATACAGCCAAACCTCTGATAATAGACCCTCCGAGAAACCGACAACCGCCCAACAGCAGAAACTATGTTACTAATCAACGAAAATAGCATAGAGATGAACTTCCGAAATAGGGACAACCTACATAGAAAGAACAAAGGGCCCGTTTTAAACACGTCCTTTGTTTGGCAGTTCGACTGTATCCATGAGCTACTACAAAAGATTGTAGCTACGAGCCAAGTGTGGTTCAATATGTACTATTAAAGTAGGAGCCAGCATATAATGTACTATATATTAGAGTGCAGCAAAGAGAGTGTAAACCTGTAGCAGTATCCGACTCTCTCTCCTGGTGGCCAGTGCTGAGGAGCTAGCTGGACCATGAACTCTTCCAGTGGGAGAGACTTGTGGTACCTCTGAACTACCTCAATGTCAAACAACTCACCAAACGGAACATTGGCCTGTGTAAAACAGTGCAGTGTTAGTCTCAAACTATCATTATTATTCTTACAAACACTGATTTACCTTACGTGTGTATGATCTCCATGGAGGCACTGCAAGAGTCCGATTCAGCTCTTTGGCAAATCGGAGAGCTCCAAGGAAGTGAGCCGCTTGATTTCCAAAACGTCCTAGAGTGGCAGAAGTTTGGAGGATTGAGCAGAAGTAGTCCAATACATAATATTCCGTAGGCTTCTTGTCAAATTTGTAGGTTTCAGAAATGGGGGTGTGGCGAGGAGTAAATTTACCACTCACCCATGCAAGGACAATAGAGAACGTAGCCATGATCATCCCACTCGTATCCACAGCCGGTCCCTGCCCACAGAGCGAGCAACAATATATCCAGCATCCAATTCGACATCGCGCTACACAAAAAAGGGGCGTATGCAGAGAAAATGCCACGCATGCGCAAACCTTCGCGCGCGACCAGCGTCGCTATATTATATGGGGATACATAAGGTGGTATCGTAAGTTGTTACGCGGGGCTTCCTTGAATGCTACCATGCTGAGGAACAACAAAGTAATACTTTTTGAATAAGCTGGTAGTCCATGTTACGCAGGCTTCGGGCGCTCTACGACCCCTTGCATGTGCTGCTGGCATACGAGCACACTAGTCTACTCATAAGCATTAGACTTGGACCGCAAATAGAAAGGAGGTCAGCTTGGTGCACTTCCTGAACACAGTGCTATATAGTCAACAATAGGATGCAAACTCATCCTATGCAGTATAATATTATATGCAAAGAAGCTACAAAGTTCAGGCTAGTCAAAAGTATTTCAGAAAGTAGAAAAGTCTCCAGTTTGCCCTCCATTATCTTCATTTTTCTTCAACCATGGCCAAAAGGCCAGGTGCACAGCCTAATGATGAAAAGAATAGGCAAAAAATACGTATTTGGCAGAATTGTTTTCAGTTGCTGCATATAATCGGAACTAGGCCCTAGCACTAGTCCTAGCTTTAATTCTGATGCCTATGGCAAGATTTTAACCCTAGGGTCTAGCTTTTAATGCCCTAGAAGATTGGGTTTGCCCTAAGGCCTAGCTTTGTAACACTAGAACAGATATTTCCCTAGCAACTAGCATTCTAGCCCTAGAGCAATTATTTTGCCCTATAACATATATTTTGTCTAGCTAGAACAATTTTTTAGCCACAGCAGGGCATTATTTCACTTATTAATATATATAAGCCCAGGGGAGGTTGTGCACGCGTCATCGCTTGCATCACGTGCTCCTTAGAGATGTATGTTCGCCCACGCAACCAAGTCAACCCGCTGAGTCAGCACTTTCTGCAAAACGGCACACTGGCATTTGCAAGGCTACGAGTGTTCTTTGTGGTACACAATGGACATAAAAACAATCGAGAGATGGCAAGATCTTGGCCCGCCTGAACATCCAGCCAGAGCCACTTCTTTTCACAGCTACGATACTTGCTTACATTAGAACTGCATGCTTGGGAATGTTGATTGTGCGTATTACAAAGAAACACAACACACACCATACCCAGAATAGAGTAGTTATAAGCCCTCCGGCAAACACGAGCTTGAGACTGTTATCCAAATCATCTAATACATCAGGAAGATCGTCATCAGATGTGCTCTCGATGTAGATTCCACAGAACACCATGCCATAACCCACAGCTGACAGGTACATGATAGAGACCACAGCTGTCTGCGAGATTGTGTTAAGGGGTCTGGTAGGCTAAAATCACCACAAACATGCCAAATATTTTTTCATGTCTTCATCAGTTCCTAAAGTCCTAAGACAAGCCAGTCGCCTTCTGAGCTTAGTGTTTTAGACTATATAGGAGTAGCATATACCTCCATATATCCAACCTATGCTATTCCCTTTCTCGGCGACAAAGACACCATATTTATGATTTCTACACATGCAATCTACACACATACTCTGCCATACATTGACATACACAAAGTTCAAAATCGTATAATTAGAAGAGCACTGTAACTGGCAAAAGGTAATGTATAGACGCGCACATGCGCTTAGTTTGGCAACTAGAGCATTAATACTCTGTGTGTGGGTATACTCCGCGTAGTGCATACCGTCGAGATCTCAACCAATGATGAATGGCAGATATTCTGGCCGTTGCCATGGGCATACGTGACTGTGTATCGTCGCCGCGTGCAAGAACTCGCACGCGACGTACGTGCTTCTGGAGAGTCATGGCTTTTCGCCGCGTCTCCAGCACTTCAAGCGCCAGCGACAAGGATCTCTAACAGCGCATCAATCACGTCGGACGCCGACGAAGCGTAGACCTCCTCGTAGACACGACGATAGGAAATGTGCGCAAACGCCGTCAGATACGCCGACAGGAAGAGCGCCTCCATCAAAATGCCGACAGCGCGGTGTCTGACTTACATGCCAGCGAGGAGTGAAAGCTCTCCACGTCTCCCACATTACTGCCAGTGAGTATCCAGTTCTGTCAGCAGTTGTCAGAAACTGAAAGTATGTGAGAGCGACGGACCAAAAATAGGGAGCGCGCGGATACTGAAGTAAGCGGGCTACAATCGGCTTGACGTCGAAGTGAACGCGGAAAGGCGTTCAGGAAGAGGGCCAGAGATAAGAGCGAAAGGGAATTGAATTGAGACAAGAATAAAGAGAGGAGGGCCAGTGTATGTGCACCTGGAGGGTATTGACTGGAGTGATCTACCAGGACCTAGTATAACGTGCTAGGACACAGCTATGTAGTACTTCATTTTGGCACCAGATGTACTGTCAGTCTCTATGTGTGTGTTCTGCTTCGGCTGGTTCTGTCTCAACGCTCACTTTCGACGTTTGGGGCGCTTTTATAATCTTGTATGTGCAGACACAACATATCAAATTGGTCGGTATCATTCGATCCACTTCATCCAAGATGCTATCGATATATGACGATTGTGTGTTTGTTTGTCACATACTTGTGAAGTATGTGTGTGTTATAGTTGTGGGGATGCGACCATGGCGTGCGTCAGGACCACCGCCGGTGGAGACCCATGGGGATTCTTGACTCAAAGCATATCAGATAGCTATCACACGAGGCACTACTCTAGTTGATGTGAGTAGCCAGGAGCTTTGAAAAAGTAAAATGTAGTATGCACAGTTCATGCTTTCTAGGTACCTGTGTGCCATTTTCTGGAGGTTTGAAGTCATAGGATGGCTTTACTACGAGCTGCCCAAGTCGGCACTATCAGAAATGTCTCTTTGCACAATTTTGTTTTATTTGAACACTTTTTTAGCACACACAAATCATTCAAAATTCACTCTAACATGTTCTTTGTGTGGACAAAAACTAAAATGCATGGTTGTTGCACTGTAAGTTTAAATGGATTTTTTAATTACATGGCGTTTTTTTGCCTACCGGACCCCCTTAAGAAAGTACTGTGCATTTGGTCATGAATGCAAGTGGTAAAGAGGTCGTAAAAGAGCAAACCAATTGAATGAACCCTCCCACTCATTTTACCACATTTGTTAGCTCCTGGAAAATTACAACCCGTAACGTGGTCATTGGTCAAGAAGCCCAAAAATAATTTCTCCTTTCACAGCTCACTATATAGCTTTCCTGCCTGGGAGGGTTTGCACTCTAGTGCTTTTCGTTTGCCCAGTATTTTACTACAATGCTTTTAGATATGGCCCTCCACCTCCACCTCTTTTCTTTTAAGTCAGATGGTGCCATGCTACACCATCACTGTGTGTTCAAGGTGCAGCCACAATGACATTCAAGATCTATACTTTAGTATCTTATACACAAACAGAGTTTAGAACGATTCCCAGCACTATTCACATTGGTAGAAAACCTAGGCTCAAGCTTTACGATACAGTACTTCCAACAACAGAGCTGGGCAGTCCCCACAGCAACACATGAGCAACGGCCAGCATATGTGCAAATGGACCAATCACACTGCCTGCCCAGTAGGCGTAAAGGTAAGATTCCTCCACACTTACATAATCCTCATAGTCATTCAACCTGTGGAAGAAAATGACAAACAGCAAGTATGTAAGGGTAGCGAGCTACAAGAATTGCTAATAATTTTATTTTCAATTTCAATACCAATCAGATCCCACTACTGGTAGCTCACTGTAATCTATTGTTAGTAACTAACCTGTGTTTACCCTCAGCGTGCAGATTCAGTGAGGGTTATAGTTGAATGTGCTGTTGTTGATGTAGGTGTGTAGGTGTGAAGCCCATTAGGACTTACTCCCTCCCTCCCTCCTTCCCTCACTCTCTCTCTCTCCACTCTCCACCTCTCTCTCTCCGTCTCTCATGTTTTGGCACTCAAGGCTATGAGGCGGCCTATGAGCAACACTAGCAGCTTCAGTTTAGACCGAGAAAACTGGCATCGCCAGCTACAAGTGGGATGCCCCAGCACATCAATTAGTGCACATCTGTAGTGCATAATACCTACAACTAGCAGTGCCCTTAGTGCTATTGGTTGTTGCATAATACGTACGCATGTGAATAAAGTAGCAAGGAAAGCAAACCGGTCAACTACATGGCCCTCATGGGTGGGATTTGAACCCACGGCACTCTGTAGTCTACGCGAACCCTCTACCAACTGAGCTAGCTACTACTCAGCTTGTTGAGGTTCAAATCCAACACAATATAACACAACACAATGGCAAACCTCAAACCACTATATATGCTATGGCACAGTATACTCAAACTCACTTTGTAGGAGCAGACCACAGGGTAATTAAACAACCAAAGATGCCCAACTTCAAACTAGGTATTTATGCATGTCAACAATGAGTATATAGGCCTTGATAAATTTTACATAATTTATAGCAAAATAGGTAGCTTAAAGGCATTGGGCATTATTCGAGAAAACAGGTGAGCATCTGGCATTGTGCATGTGCAATGGGAAGAGGGAAGACGTGTCATCTGCCATAGACCCACTGACTTGGTGGAAAGATCATAAGAATGCACTTCCACGGTGGGCGAATGCATGTAAACGTGTGCTACTGTTGCAGCCGTCCTCTGTGGCAGCAGAGCGTGTGTTTTTCTATTCTCTCTAACTCTTTCAACTCACAGCAACAATCCTCATTTAGAAGATTATACAGAACTTTTTGTAATTCTACAGTATATATAATAATCGTAGTATATAGTAACTGAATAATTATTTTCATCGTGTAATGTAATTTGGTTCTTCGCTCCTTTTTTAACTGAAGAAAATGAGTAACCTAATGAGGTAAATAGGTGAAAGCAAGAGCAAAGTAGGTTTAAGAAAAGAAAAATAGGTAAAATTAATAGAAAATTTATTAAGGCCTTACAATGAGGTAGCAACATTAAAGCCGGTTATGACATCCGTTCACTAAAAATGACATTCTCGTTCCTGTGTATGAGCATTTTGCTGTGTGTGTTGTGAATATACCTTTAGAATCCCTCCTCTCTCTTAATCTCATTTTGTTCTTACTGCATTTGTGCGGGCAGTTCAGTTTTTATCGCCAAATCGACTCTAAAGCAATCTCATTTGTAATCATACCATTTCTTGTACCGTCCAAAACCAGCAGTAAACACAATCCAACCAATGAATGAGATTCCAATAAATGGCAGTGACACCTGCAGAGATAAACCATAATTGAACATTACTGAACATTATTTTGAAGCCTCCAAATGTCACTGCTATGTAGCTATTATAGCTGACTGTTCAAGTGTAGCTAGTATTCATATAGATGTTCCTCTGGCCACCCCACCAGCTACACTTTTCTCAAATGGCACCACTAAAGGCCTGCGCGGGGGGGGAGTAAATCTAAGGACCCTGATGATTATCAGTAGCCTCTGAAGAACCCTTCTTATCATTCCTCCGCACCATACTAGGGACTTTCCTATTGCACTACTTATAGAGTGGAAGTACATCTTGGGTTTGGCAATAATGTACCACAGAAGTCCTAAAAATCAAAAGGTAATGCTAGTAATGAAGATTGGTTAAACTGACTCAACATGTGCGGACTTCGTGAATCAGCAAACTTTTGTGCCAGGCACCTATTTGCGGTGTGCGAGTTGCCTGATTATAATTGCATAGTGACAAAATTAAACTGGGGGAAGCTGTGTCTCAGGCAATAGATGGATGTGTGCTGAAAAAACAATCACAATGACCCTCACTAAGATTGCAGTGTCAAGTATAGGACACAGTAGCATTGCTATAATTAAGCTGCTGGGAGTCACAATGGTGTAAACTATATACCTCGAAAAATATACATTCTGTGACAATTCTCATCTGTCTTGTGACAAGAGAAAGTGAGTGTTGTCCCACAATTGACCTTTCATGCACCAATGAGATGTTGGCCTTCTATTGGGCTCTGTCTTCCAGAAAATAATTATCATGACCATAATTAGCTATACAAGTTGAAGAATGATTTCTTAAAAATGAAGGAGGATGTAGGGAGGACGTAAATTATGAAAAAGGACACCAACAAGATACTTCAGCTGAAAACAGTGAAAAGCACTAAAGTGCAAACCCTCGGCGAACTGCGCATGCGCGATACTGCTAAATGGGCTGGGCGGCTATTTGCGTTATCCGCTAGTATATAGCCCGCGGAGAGTCAGACACGGGCTAGCTACAGTAGTAGATAGCATGACATGCCATTGGTTGTGACTTCCTGAGCCCCCAAGGTACACAGAGCGAGCGGATCAGGTCGCGGTAAGCCCAGTGCGATTATGCATATTGGCTTTTTCGCTTGTTTTCACGGCATATCTCTCGAACGCAGTCGTTTCAGGAAAATCGCCTAATAATTTTTCAGGTTCGCGTAGTTCTGAAGCCGTTGGTATCGCTCATTAGCCACCTCGTGGCCTGTAGTGGCAGAATAAGCGTCGACACACAGACAGACAGACAGACAGACAAACCAACTACCGTAACCCTCGCTGCGCATGCGCGCCGAGGGTTAATAATCACACATCCATCCCTACATCTTTGCTCTGTCTATATAAGAATGTGTAGGCACTCGTTATTGGCATAGGTATATATACTAATTCATAACAAATCACAGTTGAGGATGTGAGTAAAGAAAGATGTATATAGGGATGGATGTATGATTTTTGTTTTTCCGCTGAAGCATCTTTTTTTTGTTGGTATCCTTATTCATAATTGACACCATCCTTACATCCTTCTTCATTTTGAAGAAATTATTTTTCCACTTGTTCCACTTATTTTTTTAGCACATGCTCAGCCCCACCCTTTTCGCAATGCAGAGCGAGGGTTGTACGTAATAGGGTTCATGCGCGCGTAGGTGGAGATTTGTGCGCTGCAAATGATTTGCAGAGATCATGATTGAACACACACACTCGCAGTGCATTGTGGGGGCGGGGGTGGTAGCCGTGACATGGTTTGCAATTTTGATGCTCTTCGATTCTTGCACGAGAGACTAGCAGGTGCATGCGCAAGTACAAAACTTTCATTATACATAATATGCTTTGTTGTGAAGAGAGTTTTTCTTTAGGAGAGGTCTATATCAAACTGAAGGTGGAGGCCAAATCAGGATATATAGCTAGTAGCAAGTGGGCAGTAGAAGCCAGATGTTTGTAGGATTCAGGGTCCAGCTTGACAAGTGGAGTTGCAGTCTAGCCACTTTGAGACATAAAGATAGCATATATGCCCCATGCATAATACAGAGTAGTATAGCCAGACATGGTAAGAAGTAGGTTTACAATTAGTCTCGTGCCCAGACCCTCACGTGCTCCCGCGCGAAAGAGGGTCTGGTAAATAAAGTCCAATTTCTTGGATCAGTATGTGTATGCAAATTGCATAATTCAACCTGTCAGTCATGTGATTACCTGGTCAGCGCTCCCATTTCGTTGTGCTGAGCATGCGCAGAACGGGTTGGGATTGCGATCTTCTTCATGTCACATGATAGTTTTAAATCAGGCAATCTGATTCGGTTACCCGTTTTCTGAACATGCGGACTCAGCACAACCAAGAAATCGGACCTTATTTACCAGACCCTCTTTCGCGCGGAGCACGTGAGGGTCTGGACACAAGACTAGGAGTTGGTAGTGCAACAAAGGCTAGGTCAGCAGTGGGATAAGGGTGCAGGAATGTACAAGTCAGCAGTGATGATAGGAGCTGAAAACGCTTCAGAGCCCCACCAGATAAGCTGGGTATCCTTCCCACAACAGGTCAAGTCCTCTGCATTACCTCTATAATGTAGCCCTATCAGCAATATTTTTCTTCAACTGGGGTAACAGCTGCTTATTTCTTATCAGGTCAGCATGATAGGAGGCCCCAGCTACTGCCTTTACCTTACCAGGGCCTGACTGATAAAGGGATCTACCTCTAGCCTTTATATTCTCAAAATTATGCACATAATATCTTCTGCCCTCCTTCTTCTTTTCAACTGATAAAGCCAGAAGTTGAACTTATCTCAAAGGATGGAGAAGCGACGACAGCTGAGTAGTGGTAGCTAAAGTGCAGTGGAGGGCCTTGCGATTGAAGGAACTGGGTGGTGTTCTTTTTATCAGCCACGACTGTCAGCAAAGAAACGGTGCTATAGGGGCCGAGGGGATGCTAAACGTTGAACTGGAAGCATAGATCTCAACTGTCCCGAATTAGGCGGGACAGTACCGATTTTCACAGCCTTGTCCCGCCCATCACCTTGCTTGTCCCGATTTATTTGCGCGGTAGTGAAAAAAACACGGTTTGCAGCAGAGCAACGAATCATGCACAACTGGACTCTGGTACTCACTCTTTAGCACTGCGTATATGTCAGTGTACTGTTGCTTCAAGCATAGACTCGTAACTAGCAAGCGATCGCGGGTAAATACTAGTGGGTGGGTCCCGAACGAACCATACGCGCATGCGCACTTGGTTGTTCGCGTATGTCCCGATATTATTAGTCCCTTCTGGAAGGTTGAGACAAGGAGTATCGTGAGGCACCCCTGTTAAACAAAGCAATGAGGGAATGCGGACAACTTGCAGGGGTTATATGCCTTGAGAGAAACCTAAGCGAGTATATATATAGCAGTCAGAAAATAGCGTTGTTTTCTGTCTGCTGTAGTGGCCGTCAGGAACCTTTCTTGGCGATAGGCGGCAAGAAAACAAAGATCGCTGTACGACAATGCACACCTCCAGCATCGCGGGGCACGTTTTTAGTGAGAAATTCAGTGCATCAACTGGTTCTAGTAAGGAAAAGCGGGTCTAAAGAAGATGTATTCGATAATCGTTAAATCGCGTATGAGCGGATTCTCGTGTCGAGAATTGCAGTGACGTAGGGAATATTTTGGTAGATGTGGCCCCGTGACTAATTTTTGGTGTATTTTTCAAGCATAGCTAGGCGCTCTCGGCGAGTTTCGAGGCGTTTTGTATACGCGGATAACGTCAGATTTCACTCGTGCCATACCTACATATTATAGAGCGTCTACCGACGCTCTGAGACACCAATTTGCTTATCTATACACATGGTAATAGGAAGAATTTGTGAGGGAGTACACATTTGCAGTGAGTAAAAGTATGTTAATCCACAGATCGTGACTCAGGCAGAGTGCGGCGGTAGCTGACCATGTTTCTATGTGTGCTAGAGGCTGAATTCATAAGTTTTGTACTATATACATGAATGACGGACTTATTATTATTCTAAAGTGCACGCATGAACAAAACAGTTATGGCATGTTGCAATAGTTGATTATGTTGTTGATCACACCTAGATGAAGTGAACACACTAGATCTTTTTTTATTGGGTAGCTACGTACATACCTTTCTTGCAAATCCTTCAGCGACCCTCATAGCTGTCCAAAAAAATTCTGCTAGAATTAAAAAAATAGGCGAATATTTGTGCATGATGCAAAAAAAAGCTAGCTACAACGCTTTAGAGCTGATTAGGCATAATCCTGGCAAGATTGGCATCAAAATGTGCTACTTTATGGTTTGCGCCCAGATGCGACTGACTCCGTGGCGCGTGTATTTCGAACTGTGTGGACAACTTTCTCCGCTACACTCACCCCAAGACGTTGCCTACGATAGAGGTTGGTTGTTGTCCGCGGTATCTTGGGCAGCTAGCTACTTCTTATTAATGATAGCGAGTTTCCAACACGCTCAGGTCTTTTTCTTAACCCTTACCTTATTCCGCACTGTAAAGAAAGGACTCTGCTCTCTCCTTTTCTCTGTCTCTTCTGTCGTCTTATAGTCTCTCGCAAGCGTGAGGGTCTGGTTTGCGAGACTACGTACCTTCTTGTGTGGTCATTCAAATCCACAGCACCCTGGCTTATAGCAACCGCGATGCGCTTCGACGCTCTTATGGTGCCGAAACTAGGCTAAAAACCCGGATGTGAGCGGTTAGAATTTTGTGACAAACGGCGTGCCATACGGACGCACGCTGTCTTATCGACAACCTCTGCACCTACGGATAGGATATACTGTGATTGAAGCTACTATAATAATATTGTAGAAAAGTGCCGTTTTTGTTGATTAATGGCTATTTTGCACTTACCCTGCACCTACGTATGTTCAACTTGAACGGAGAGCAATGTTGCAAATATATTCACTACATCAACTGACAAAGAGTTCACATCCTCTACTCCTGTACTAGTTCAGGGTGGTAATAAGTCTTTACTAGTCAAGAAAAGGCTGATTTTCCATCTGAGTTTTAAGAAATCTGTAGTGTGCAGTTTTACTGCTGGGTTGCTAGCTAGCTACTATATATGCAAATGGCAAGGAAAAAGAATGCAAAACCTTCTTAACAAAAATAATTTATGAGGAAATTGAAAAGAAGAAATGAAGAACAATGCAAAAAAGTCCGACACTTGTTTCCAATAAGTAATGTGTATTAGCTGTGTACTCCCAAGATATCAAGGAAAGAAAACTCAGTTTGAAAGTAAAACCAGTATACATGACTTAGTTTGTAAACTAATGCGCTTAGTTTTGGTGACAATTGTGGCTAGTCTCTTTCCCAAACCCTTTCTTTATAAACGCAAGCATTATATTATATATACTATATAATATACACAATGCTCCACTTTCCTATAACGGTAGCTATAGCTACTCTGTAAACATCAGTCTGTGATGCGGAGCAAAACATTTTCTCAAGAGGCACCATAATAAAAGCTCGAAACTCCTACGTTGAGGAGTTTAATTTTTTTATCATTATATAACCTCACCATTAACAGTCTCATGCACCACCAATCCCTATAATATAGTGGAAAAATCATTTCTTTAAGAATGAAGGGGGGTATATATAGGGATGGCTCGAAGCACCAAAAAGGAAGAGACAAGGGGTCATTACCCAGAAAAGATACACAATGATATAATTATACATGACACCATCCCGATATCTTTGTTTCATATTATTTTGATATAGGGATGGTGTCATGTATATATATACCCTTGTGTATCTTTGCTGGGTAATGACCACTTAATTGTCTCTTCCTTTTTGGTGCTTCGAGGCATCCCTATATCCCCCCTCATTTGATTTTTCCACTTTTTCCCACTATTTTTAATGATAACGCAGCACTCTTATTACCGTCACTTTGATATTCACAAGTGATGTTCGTGTCATTCAATTTCAAGTTGCTAACATGTAGAACTGATGTAAAGTTGCCTAGATTTCTTACAAAACGTATTTGGAAGCCACCTTCCTCGGTATAATGTGTGTCATCATCGTTTATTGCAGACAATCCAGTCGCATTGATTGTAACCATTCGCCATAAAATTCCTACTGCAGAGGTCACCTCGCATCTATAATCCTCCTTGGGGCACAGGCAGCGTTTTGATGGGAGTAGTTGCAGCAGGTTATCTGAAAACGTGAAGTCAGGGATGTGTATCATGATCACTAAGCTAGCGTACCAGTCCCAGAGATGATAGGTACTGTGAGAACTGCCTGCGAAAAAAACACTACCCAAACATTGCAGCGGACCATCACTATTCCTGACGCTGCTGAGGCCGCGAGCGCGTGTGTGCGCAGCTCTGTGCGCGTGCGCAGTTATTTATGGCGGCACTATGGAAGCCTATGTATGTAAACTGTTAAAAATGAAGGAGGATATAGGGATGGGTTGAAGCACCAAAGAGGAAGAAACAAGGGGTCATTACACACCGAAGATACACAAAGCTGGACACCTTTGTTCCATGGGGTATCAGTGGCGGCACTAAGATATATAAAGTGGTGGGGCTACTCTAGTGGAATGAAAAGCACTTGACGGATGGACGGACACACGCGCGCACACACACACAGACCAACTACAATAACCCTCGCTGCGCATGCGCGAAACCGGGAATATGCTGGAATAATAGTGGTGGGGCTAAGCCCCCTGGTTACGAAATGTGGTAGGGCTACAGCCCACTAGCCCCACCGCTTGTGCTGGCCCTTAGATATAGGGATGGTGTTATGTATCGTGTGCCGTGGTGTGCATGTATATATCGTTGATCATGGGGATGACTGAATTCTATCTTGTTGAAAGCGGCAGCTAATGGATGTTTATGCCTGAAGCAGGGGGCAGTAGACAGAGACTATCTATTATCTCCAAGGACGTAATATAATTTTTTATATTTTTTTATATTTTTATATGAATTTATAATCATACACAATAGCCAAAAGCTAGTACATGGTGTATGAAAATTAACGATTAAATATTTAGCCATTCCTTCAAGGATGATTTGAATGATGGGAGAGTTTCAGATGATCTTATACAAGTGGAAAAATCATTTCTTCAAAATGAAGGGGGATGTAGGGATGGTGTAAATTATGAAAAAGGATGCCAACAAGAAGATGCTTCAGCTGACAACAAAAATCGTACATCCATCCCTACATCTTTCTTTCTTTTGCTCTGTATAAAAAAATGTGTGGTTACTTGTCATAGAGTATGTAAGATACATTATTCACAACATAATTATCACAGTATATAGAGGTTGTGACTGTAAAGAAAGATGTAGGGATGGATGTACGATTTTTGTTGTCGGCTGAAGCATCTTCTTGTTGGCATCCTTTTTCATAATTTACACCATCCCTACATCCCCCTTCATTTTGAAGAAAAGATTTTTCCACTTGTTCGAGTTATTTTTTGCGCATACTCAGCCCCACCCTTTTCGGGCTGCAGAGCGAGGGGGAGGGGCTGCTGCGGCGCACACACACTTTGCATTGTACGCACGGCGCGCGGGCTCCCGGCCTATATATATACCTACCTACCGACCGACCGGCGGCCGGGCGGGTCGGTGACGTTCACACTTGCGGGCGCGCCTCTCTCGCGTAGCGGGCGCATGCGCAAGTGATATATCAACATAATTACTAGTGGAAATGTTGAACATTATTGGCGAGCGGGAGCGACCCAACTTGGGATTTCACCGCGATGTTCGGGCTGTATAACGCGTACAGCTTTCCTTTCGTGAAGCAAGACAGATCTACCTGTCGCCGTTACATGCGTACTGTATATTGCCAGAACGGTGAGCAGGTGAGCAGAACGGTACTTACCTTACGCTTTCAGCTCGTCAGTCGTGGTCCACCTGGCAACTGGCATGCAGCAGTATGTGCCCTAGCGTATTATGCAAGTTGCACCTTGAGATTGGGAAGAGGTACAGCTTCGGTCAGTCACCGATGGTCGAATGGAGGAGAGTTGAAATAATTTCGGATAAAAAGAAGCGCGTACAAAGACGCGCATGCGCACCTACACGACGTACGTACACAAAAAATTCCGCTCGAACGAAAGACTAGGTTGGCTCGCTCCCGCTCGCCAA